TGTGGGTGTAAAGCAGAGAGATAATTCATATACATATATATATATATATGTTTATATCATGGTGTATATGTACATAATATATATATATATATGTATATACACACATATTATATAGATATATTCTCTGTCCCGTGGCCGGTTGGTCTTCGGATCCGCTCCCCCGAAATCTGAAAATTCCCCGGCGTCCAGTAGTCGTCGTCGTCGTCGTAGTAGTAGTAGTAGTAGGTAGTTAGTAGTAGTAGTAGTAGTAGTAGTAGTATAGTAGTAGTAGTAATAATAATAGGAGGCAGTGGTAGTGGGAGTAGGAGTGGGAGTGGGGGTGGGAGTGGTAGTGGTAATGGTAGTAGTAGCGGTAGTGGTAGCAGCAGCTGCAGCAGTTGCAGCAGCAGATGTTCTTGTCGTTGTTGTCGTCGTAGGATTCATGACAACAACAAAAACCGTGCCAAGTTTAGTAGTAGACACGTGAACCTAGGATCCAGTACCCGGTGAGTACCCTTCGGGGCACAAACCTGAAGCTCGAAAGGCAAAGCCCTGATCCCGAAAGCTTTGTAACATTGTATGCCCCTGAGGCGCTGGAACGCATTAGCTCTCAACACTAGCCGTGCACCTGAACGACCGGGCCGAGGCAAGTGAACCGCCGTTACCCCACAGTCCAACAGGCACTCAACAAGAATCAGTGAACTCAAACCCGGTACCCTGATGCCCAACCTAAACTTGAGTGTTCGAGGGCCCATACGTCCTGTCAGTGACAGAGACGAGCAAACCACCGAGCCTTTCATAGCTATGTGCCGCTTGAAGCACAGGCTCGATCCCGCTACTGCAGAGACAACCTCCGCGGCCGTGGGCAAGGTCCAGACAGAGGCCATGCTCATGAATTTTGAATGCGTGTCGAAGTGCATTTTGGGTTCAGGGCTTTCGTTTTGGTTTAAAGTTTAAACACGGGTGGGGAGAGAAGTGCCTTTGAGACTCTTGCCGCCTCCGCGTCCTCATGCCAGCTTAATTACGTGCGATGCCGAATCACAGTGAGCGGGAATAACCCCAGCTGGAGTTTAGAATTCAGAATCCAAGCTTATTGAGTACTGGTTCGCTTCAGGTTTAAGGATGTTCTTGAACCTCTAGTCACCCCATGATAGACTGCCAGAGAAGCCGCACATGTCCCGGATGCAACACCGAAGTCCAAGAGTGTCGGCTAACAGTTGCCCTTTACACTACAACAGCCTACGTTGCTTCGATTCACCCTAAACCCTAAACCCTAAACCGGTTTAGGGCTTAGGGTTTAGGGTTCAGGGTTTAGGGTTCAACTCGATGGGATTGTGCTTGGGGAGAACTTTTGTTAACAGACTCTTCAGAGCGTTGCATCGAGCTTTGAGGAGGATGTCTGGGCGGCACGTAAGCACCCATATTCATTCAGCTTCAGAGACACTTAAGATCAACTAAGGCATCGAGCCTGATCCCCTGATCCGTTCCATTGATATAGCCTTGCTGCCGAAATACTTATAAGATGTAGATCATGTTTACGGCAAACTATATTCCCAAAGCCCCGAAGCCCTGAAATCTAGAACCCCAGAGCCTCGAAAGCTCGAAGCCCTCAAACCTTTCCCAAGCCTTACAAACCCTAGTAACCCTAGCCCCGACTGCAAGGCTGCCTGATTCGAACTTCAAAAGCTTACGTGTGTTCATGTTAGTGGGGAAATGTATATACTGCCACTTTACAGAGCCCTTAAATCCGCAAGGCCAAACCCTAAGAAACGCAAGGAACCAATCATTAAACCCTAACCCCCCCCTCCCTAACCCGGAGCCCTGAGCCCCGATACCTAAACTCCCAAAGCCCTAAACCCTAAA